AGAACAAACTAAAAAAGACCTTTGGGGTTTGCGCATTGAAAAAAAAAAAAAAAAAAAAAAGGTAAAAAGAAAATTCTTCATGCTTTTGCTTAAAAGTCGTTGTGATACTGTGGTTCCGGTGAAACATTTATATTTACTAATGGTTTATTGAATATATTATGTCCTTAGATAAAGTTAGTAGAATTGTAGTAGAATGAAGAACTTGAAGTATTGAAAACTTAATTTTGAAAAAAAAAATTAAATTATTATTTTATTACTTTCCAGCTATTACGCAGGTATTAGGAAATTTATTTCGATTTATTAATGTAGTTAATTCAATCTTTGATATATATATAATATATATCTGTATTATATATATATGTAAATACAAAACAATTTTTTAAAACAAAATATAATCTTGCATAGTATTTTTACGCATTAGGCTTCTGAAAAATTATCAGTTAAGACATAAAGTGAAAAATTTAGAACTAATTTTTCACAAAGACTAAAAATTGGTGTTCATAAGTAATAAATTTCAAATAATCATGTAAATGCAATAAAGAATTTAATAAATGTTTAAACCAAAACTCTTCAAACAAGCAATATCCCATTTAAAAAAATCAATGAAATTTAAAGAAAAACCAACATAGTAGAGGAATTCAATCAACTTCAGTGCACTTCGTCAGGAGGAGGGACCTTGAAATAATTTGAAATCCCTCTTCCACAAAATTCCTTGCTTTTCTGAATCCAGAATTAGCCGATGAACCATTTCAATGTATTTTACTTATAATAGTTCATCCGAAAATTCTGGCCCCTTCCCAAAGCAAGGGAAAAAACTAAGTAAATTATAATTAGAATCTTTTACCTTAAATAAAGAGAATTATATTTAAAGAATTGAAAACGTAAGTGGAAAAAATAAATATTTCAGCAAAAAATTCAAATCGAAATTTTACCTTTAAAGAAATAGCACATAATACAAAAAATTTAAAACGTAAGTGAAATTTTAAAACTTTAGTTGAAAAGACAATTCATATCTTTAATTAAATTAATTTTCCTTGGAGATGATATATAAATACCTTTTCTAATAATAAATTATATATACATATATATGTGTAGCATTTTAATTGCGTAGGAGGAACCCCGTACCTTGAGTAGCTTGCAGTCTTAATGGCTGAGGGTTGAATGTGTACTGACGAAGATAGCAAAACTGGATTTTTACAAATCACCAATCTTTATATTTACGCATATCAAATCATTTTTAGTAGATACGATACTTCTGGATTATAAGCAATTACAATAATTTTTATGTACACAAGTAAAGGGATACGACGTCATTTTAGGCAAGTGGGCATACCAGCGTGCAGATGTTGGAAGGCGGAAGCTACGAAAAGGAATGACGTAGTTGTTTTGCAAAGGGTATTTATACTGAGTATGATGCATAAGTACAGCTAATCTGTGATTGGTTAATTTTAGGTTGTTATGTAACATGGAGAGATCTCGAATTTGGGAGAACAGATGAACTTAAGGGAAGAACACTAAAATTAGAATAGTTAATTATATATATAATTATATATATATCAGATTTAATATATTTAAAATGAAATAAAGATAATTTATGTTGCCACAAAAATTTATCATGTCGCAAGAGAAACGTTATCAACTTTTCCAAATATAGAAATTATTTTTCCAGTATTATGTCTGCTTCAATTTCCAACTCATCCTGTCAAAGTTCTTTCTCTGCCTTAGCTACATAATAAGCACGACGTGAGAAGAAAACTTAAACAGTACGACACTATTATAGTTGGAAAAAGAAATATTAAATAAATAACACTGATGTTTCAAAAGTAACTGTTAAAGTGAATTCCAGCAAAAAATTTATAAATTTTATACTTAATAATAAATTTTTCTAACTTAAATATAGTATAACTTATAAAACGATTGAAAAAGGCTAAATATTTCAGGAAAAGTGTTGGAATATTTAGTCTTATTGTTACAACTTTCATTTTTATGCTTGATATTACAATAATTTTTATGTACACAAGTAAAGTAATTTACTCAAAATGTAATGTAACAAAGTTTAAAAATAAAAACATTTAATCATTATTTTATTAAAATATTAATGTAAAGAAATTCAATTCTCTTCTTTTGTTTTATTATATTAAGCTCTAATTCTGTGTCTAACATTCAGGTATGCAAACATTTTCTCAGAAGCTCCTTAAATTTTACTACCAGAAGCTCTCGGCTGCTTTAATCCTCACCTGCCCATTAGTATATAATCCTTTTGATCCCTTCAGCAAGAAATTTGGATTTTTCTGTTTAAAAAATTCGGTGAAAAACCAGTATTTTCTCATCCATGCTTTATATGCCTCTGTAAACTGGTTTTGAGCTTTATATTCATTGGATGTTCGGATTTGGCTTTTTTCTTTCTTTGTAAAGTATTACGACACTAAATACTATGCGCATAAGTTTGAAAACCTGTACAATTTGGATAGCTAGCTTGAACTTGAAACAACTCAGATAAAATGAATTTTTGCTTAAACCTTGTAAGATCAAGAATTTCCATATAAAGCATATTTCTTTAGAATTTTTTTAAATTATATATTTTAACTTAACGATTTAGATAGAGTAGGATCTATTCGTGTAGATAAACTTTAATTTAATGTGATTATATATACATATTTTTTAAAGTTACTTAGCCACAAGAGGTGGTTAAACTGTCAGCACCGAGTGACTGGATTTTCTGTTCCGTTTAATGAAAAGGTTGTTATAACCTTCGTCTGCAGTCCTTTGTTTTTTCAAGACACAGCGAGAATTTGCTACTCCGTCTTTCAGTAGGTTCGACAGTTTATGTTTCCAAAACACTGAAAAACTCTACAATACAAATATTAATGGAGTTCATCATTAATGCAGATATTATTATATACATGTCAATGAGGAGCAATATTGATTACTAACCTTATTTTGTTTTACAATTTTTTACAGAATATGTTTTACAAAGTTTTGCTTATTTATATTATGCAATTTTCTTAATTTAAAATTTTATTTTTTATTTATTTGTGTGTGGGATGCTATCGATTATTGTTATCTTTAGAATTTTATAGTGGTAAGAATTATAGTAAATATTATTATTTACTATTTTACAAATGTTTAATTTACCATTCTGATTATAGCAATGCATTCTTTGCTCTCACTAGAAAATTTTTGGCCAGATGGCTTTTTGTTTCACTTTCATGCTAGATTTTAGTGGGATGGGTCTTAATGTTTCTTAGTTAGCTAGTTAGCCCTAATATACTTGATCTTTATATGACATAAAATGAAAAATGTTCCTTGCACTCATGGATTTCAGTTATAAAAAAGAATCTGTCATGCTATGCTTGCATCCATCTCAACATTTCTCAAAACCTGTATATAAGTTAACAAAGTATTTTTTCCAGGAAGAATAAACTTAATTAATTTGATTAGAACTGATATTTTGATAATAAGCTTCTGATATCTTTCTTCTGATAATTCTGTAATCAGAGAAGAGTAGTCAGAGTTCCAAGCTCTGGGATGAATGCCTAGATTTTCTAAACGAAGTGTTTATAAAGCGTGATCTGATTGCTGAGCCATGAAAACTATTTTCCATTTTTCTTAACTTCCCTTGCATCTCAAAATCCTGCAAGTATTCTTCTTTGACGAGAATAAAATATTTCAGCATTTTAACAAATTTAAACAAATTTCAACCATTGGATCATTTTTTTGGGTAAATTTAATGAGCGAACTCTGTTCCGTCTTTTGCTTTGAATTTTGCTTTCGAAGAGATGGTGAGAGAAAAGAAGTGACTTGTAGTATTCTTAATACTGATTCCTTAATTTTGTGAGCTTCATTTTAAAATTTCCTCAAATTTACATTTCTGTGCAAAAGTCATGAGCACTTGCCGTAGACTACCCATCTGAAGACACTTGAGTTGCTTGTTTCGTTTTTGAAAGGGCAGCTCATTTTTTAAATTTTCAATGGGGAGTACATGGTAATTTTAAATTACTTAAAAGTTTTATAGATTAATATGCAACTAACTGAAAATTAACTTATTATACCGCAAAGATCTAGTTTTAAATTTTGTAACAGTTTTACAGAAAGCATGATGACTCAAGTTTAAATCCATATTTCAGACAGATGTGTAATAGCCCATTATTTTCCTAAACGAACTGTAATAGATTTGTTATTCCACAAAAAATACGGAAGGAATTCAGAAATTATTAAAAGGGCTTGCTAGATTTTATAACTTCCTCTTGAAAATTCTGGTTTCGACATCAGAATAAAATGAATTTTATGCTTCGACATCACCACCAGTGGCGATATGAGACTTCTAATTACCGAATCATAAGGAACTCAGGGAGAAGTTAAAATATGCAGTCGTTTAGTCCCTATTCTGCACCGAGGATATATAATTAAATAACTGATTTTTTGGGCATAATTATCAATGGCCATGCCAAATTTCTAAATTTAAGAATTGTTAGAAAGTTTCCAGCAAACTCTAAGGTAATCGAAATGTATGTAAATTTGTTCCTCTAAAATTAAACTGAATGAAATAATTTAACATACAGCACGTACAAAACTGAAGATTTTTCTCATTTAAGATTAATATTTATGAAATCATTTCCATAACTTGTTAGAGTACTAAAACAGGAGCATCATGCGTATATTTAAAGGTGAAATGGCCATTAGATAGACTTTTGAATGTAATGTCTCCATAAAATAGACGATATGACATACATTTTGTTTTCCGCAAGTTCTGACCTAGAAAGGCACGTGAGGAAGCACGAGACATCAAATAATCCAAACACACAAAACGTAACGTTACGATGCAACTAGTTCCTCATAGTAATTTCTTTTTCTAAAGGAACTGTTCTGATTCCGAGCTGAGAACAGCTGAGCCCAAATTACACAGAAAGCGATTTAAGTAGAATCAAGGACATCAAAGTAAGACGAGGAAGTCTATGTGGCTTCCAGGTAGCCTTCTTATCATGCATGAGCAGGTAATCATGCATTTCCGCAATTTCAATTACGTGACCATAGCCTCTGTTTCAGCTACATCTCATCCTATCTGAACACTAGTTACATTTTATAGAACTTTCTTCGTGTTTATTCCGTTTCTTCAGAGGCGCAACTGATAGTACGGCTGACCTAAAAAGAAAACAAACAATAAACACTATCCATAATCAATATTTTTTAATTTTCTCTTCCCGGAACGCATTTTTTTCCATCTACCAAAGCAGGACTGGAAACTATTTTAAAATATTTCTAGGCTTATCCGATCCATAGTCATAAAATTGATACTCAGCCGATTCTCGCTAGGTTTTCTTTTTCTTCTCTAGTGACCTACAAAATTTGGCGTGACGTTGTGATTACGATGGCCCACTATTGGGCGATCCCGTGGACTGTGGGGTTAACACGAGAGGGAAATAGTATTCCTTGTTGTCGAAAACTCTCTGGTGCGTGTCCTGTGGGCTAAGTGGAAAGATTTTCACTTTCACTCAACCTTCGACGGCAGAGGAAAGTGGTTTCGAATCTTGTTATTTCAGTTTCGTCGTTTGAGGTTGCACTTGAGGAAACGTCAGGAACAGTTGTTTTGTTTTCAATTCGTAAGCTGGAACCACTTGCGGCTGCATAATACTGCATAATACGGATTATTTATTTTCCTACGTTTTGTTTATGTGCGTCAGGGTTACAATTCAGTGCAAAGTTTGCTACACTGACTGAAATTTTACTGAAATTAATATCGAATGCAAAACGATGTGTCTTACTATAATGCAATAATCCTGTATTATCGACTTGGTGCCAAAGAACTCAGTATAACAGAGAACAGTTGTTTGGATACCGCTCTATTTTCTAATACTTAATCTGTGAAATACCAATCTAAGTCCCTGAAAAATTCATGTGCAAAGGAACATCTTTTATTCAGAGTTTATTTGAGACAAGAATTCATTATTTTACGTTCTAAATAATGCATAGTGAAAAAATTGCTTTTAAATTCTGGTTTATATACGGAAGTTTATTGAACTACCACATTTTTCAGAATTAATTTCTGGAAGCTAAAAGCTGAATGTTCCCAGCTTTTCTTTAGTTTAAATAAAAAATAAAAAACTGCAACTGAAGCTCTCAAATTTTAAATTGCACGAATGACAACTGTTATGAAATCAAGAATGCTTTCTCTCCTAAGTTATTTGTTTCACTGAAGGAAATGCTGAATGCGTTTCTTTATCATCAAACTTATTTAACGAATTTAGATGCAAATTTATTTGGATTGATTCTAATTTTAGGTAAGTACTCAGTTTTTCTTTACTATTTTAATAAGCCTTAGAAATGTTATTTGTATTATGCTAGAAGTATTCAAATGTTCTAGCAAAATTGTCTAAAATTATCAAGTCACCGAATTTTATAGTTGTACCGAAGTTAATAATTTTTTATTTTTAAAATAACCTTTCTGGGAAAAGGCGGCATATGACACTCGTTTAATGAAATTCTGTCATTTTGATGTTCTTGCACCTGATGTTGTAAAAATGTTTGCTATTTAAAATATTCGACTCTGAAATTTTTAATGAGAAAATATAAGAAAGAATGATGACTCTGGAAAAAGGGGAAATTGCATTTTATCAAACTCTTTTAAATAGAGAATAGTTTAAATATATAAAAGAGCAGTTGCTTATTTGAAATATTCCGTTACTTAAGCTGTGGAAATTAAGTCTGAATTGAAAGCTAAATCAAAATCGAAACAACTGATGATGCATATTAAAGGATAATATTCATGCGATGTATCTCTGGAGTTGTCAGCATTTATGTTGCATCTATTCACTTTCGTGCGTTAAATGTAGTCTGATGGCTTACAGACTACGTATTGCGTATGTTAAATTTACGTATGTTGAATTTGCGTATGTTAAATGTACCAGGTGAAGATGAAAATCATTCTGAGCCATATATGATAAGTTTATGGGTATTTATAATTTCCTCTTATTATAGGTCTAAATTCCGAACAGGACGATAAAACTGCGATTTTTGTTCTATGTGTTTTAGCCCCTTTAATAATTAATGTCTTTTACTCAAATGTAATCGGAAGATGCTCACTGTTACATAACACATCGATAAATCATTATATCGACATATTAAAAACACGAGTTAAATCTTTATACTTCAGTTTGAAGAGCAATAATATTCCATAAATCCTGATTAGGAAAACTAAAATATGTAAAACGGTGAATCTAAGCTCATGAAGAGTTAAGCAGTAATTAATAATCTGTTAAGTTAAAATACGTTACTGCGGCAGATTCAAGTGCTTTCTTGTAGTTTCCTCACAGGTGATTTGAGATGTGAAAATTTTCGGCGGGTAAATAAATGTTCAATTTGCTTTTGGAATCTAAAATTCACCCGATCTATTTGCTGAGCTTCTGTTAGATGTGACCCCATTACCAACTTCTATTGAATTCTATCCACTTGAATTAACGGACTTGGAATAAATGAGTGAAAGATCAGTTACGGTGTACCATAGCAAAATAATTCTGTTTAATACATGAATCTCGCAGAGCTCAGTGAGATTATAAAGCCAATACCGCAATCAAATTCGTCTTCACGTGTTGCCTCGGATGGTTACTGACGAGAAATTATTCCTTATTGCGAGCAAGATAATTTTAAGGTTGTGCTACTCCAAACTTTTACGTGCTACTGTAAAAGTGCGCTTGAGATTACATATTTAAGAGCTTGTACACATTTCATTAATTTCTCTCAAACCGTAAAAGAAAAGATACAAAAAATTCTTACTTTATATAACAGCTTCTTGGTATTCCTAATCTTAATTGTTTAGATCTAAAAGGATACTGAAAATAGACAAAATCAAATTTTACTGAAGCGTAAAATTTTCTGAGTTCCATGGCCACTTTTATTTACGCATGATACTTGTTTCTAATTAATGTACATTTCAGAATTTAAAATATTTTTGCTGTCTTGTATTCTTTAATGACCCACAAAACATTCTTATGATTTGTAGGTTATGAAAACAAACCATAAAGAATACCGTTATAAGAATCAAGTTAAAAAAAAAACTTATGTAAAGAAAGAAATGGATATAAATAATGGACAAATGGATATAAATAAGCGTTGTTTTACAAAGGATTAAATGAGTTTTATTAGAATTTTAGAGTTGCATTATAATTCTCTGAAAAAAATTTACTTCATTGTTGTATGGCAAGTAAACTCTGTATTACCTCTGTTGTGAAGCTTTCTGATTTAAGTCCTTCCAGTTGTCTCCTTTCTCGTCTTTTAACGACAATTAACAAATTATTCGACAGGTATTGAAAGTAACATTTGGTATTGAAACTACCTTAAATGGAACATCGTCAGTCTTTCGTATTTAAATCGAACGTCTTTATTACATCTAGAAGTCGAATGTTTTTTCTATGTTCATATCCTCACTTAAATTCTGATGCACTCGCAATAATATTTTCTTAATTATTTCGTAATTTCTTTTGATTTTCTCTTTGTCAGCTAACGAAAGGATTAGCTGTTGCACACGATGTGCTTCCTGGTTTAGCTCCCAGAGAAGAGCTAGCCGAATGGGATTTTCGTGAGTTTTTTTTTTTTTTTTTTCAGGGTGTATAATATGAATAAAAGCCACATTTCCCTGTAAGTCCTCTTTAAGGGCATGTTAAGGCAGATGTTGCTCATGGACTTTCCCCATAATCAATTTATCAGCCAACTTTCTTTCTAAAGCTCAATAGCTTGAAAGCTGTTTATCAATGAAATAGAAAATGAATTGCCCTGTGAATAGCTTTAAATCCAGTAGTCTGAATTTGTAGTCATTAGTATTACATAATTCCTTCACGCACACAAAGCGAAACATTTTTAGCTGTGTTTGGTAAGTGTTTCTGGAGAAATTGTGAAAATCATTACTTCAAAAAATATGAAGCAAAAGCTGAGAGTTATCTGACGTTTCCTCTAGAACAGGGGATCTCAAGCGGTGGTACGCAAGAGAAAAATAGGTGGTACGCAAAGAAGCAAAGTATTTTTAGTCCGAAGGGATTTGAGTCCCGAAGGACTATTACTTTCGTTTTGGCATTTTGCGTCGGACTCCTATAAATGTCAATTCACTTTTCAAACTGTTGCCACAAAATGTTAGACTCCTGCATTATATTTGAAGAAATTAAATAACGAAAAATCTGCATAAATGTATGTATATTTCTCGCATTGTGATAAAACAACGGTATCTAGAACCATATCATTTTGAATGACGTAATCCTACTGCGAATATGGGCATCTGAAATCCCAAATTTGAAATTTGTAATTTATTTTATTATCGATTTCATATTTTGTAAAACTTTAACGAATTTTTGAGTAACAAACTCAACGATTTAAAAGCGAGCAATGGCAACACTCTACGGGGGAAAAAACCCTTTTTATCTCCAGCGCGCAGTATAGTCTTTGCAGCATGTATCGGAAGCTGTGTATCGGAAATTCTAAAGATATGCTCATTTTAAAATTATTTTGCGACATTACTATTGAACTAAATTTGATGGTTTAAGTGCAAAGAACGTGATATTTAATAAATAAAGGTAACACACAAAACGTTAAAAAAACGCCTCTTTGGACGTAATTTAAAATCCGAAACATTTCAGATTTTTTTTTCTTTCTTAATTTTTAACTATTAAATTCAAAAATTAAAACTCGAACATCCTGATTGAGTTTTTCCTCTATCACTCGTAAATTTATGCAATCAAGAGGCGTGGTGGTAGTAGTACTTTGTAGAGGCGGTACTAAAGGTTTTCAATTTTTGTTTAGATGGTACGCGTTAGTCAAAAGGTTGAGAACCGCCTGCTCTAGAAGTCTATACATAAGGTGAACTGCAGTAACTCCGTAACGTATCATAAGAAAGAAAACGAACTTTACGGTGCTGTATGAAGAACGCATGTTAAACACACTGAATTCATATTGCGGGTTTCTTTGCAGCCATTTTTTCAAAATTAATTAAATTCTATTAAATAATACTACGGTTTTATTGTTTTGATTTCAATAATTTGAGTTTTTGATGTTGAATGACTTTAGGATGATTTGCGACTGATTGCATTTTTCTGGAGATATATTAATTCTGAGATCATGAAACGAAGTTCTGATGTGTATTTCATCGGTGCATCGTTCTAAGTTGAGATTGCACTCCTTGCAAATAACGGAATACTTCTGATGCTGTTCCTTCGATTTTTTTTTTTTTTTTTTTTGCTTGCTACCCTTATTTGATAAAAGTTAATAAAACTCCCTTTTTGATAAACTCACTTTTAATGATTCATTTGGCTTACTTTTCTATACATACTAATATAAAATCAAAAATTAATAAAAATTTAATACATAAATAATTTTAACTCTTAAAATATTAAATGCTCATAAACAAACACATTTTTTTAGTATTAGGGATAAATATTTTTTACTAATTTCTTTTACTAACTATTTTGAATTAGTTTGGTTAGCATTTTCTGATAGAGCCAAAACACAAATTTAGCTCAGAATTTAGTTTATTTCACATCTTGGCTTTAAAAAAATTGCATTGTTCTAGTATACTTTCATCATTTATTGAGTGATCGATATTCGAGGTATTTATTCCGACTCAGTTTGTTATAACCGCATACTGCATATTTTACTTCTACGAGTTAAAAATTTACTTATTTATTTTGAATGGTCCACGTATCTTGCTTTGAAGACTTATATAGAATATTGCCGTTTATTAAGATTTTGCCCGTGACTATTGCATATATTTTCACTTACTTTTCTTTCCTCAAATTATTTCATTGTAGTTTAGTAGTGAGGCCAGTTCAAAAGATAAATTAGTTGCTCGACAACGTGCAAACGGTAGCTATATCAGGATAATTATACATCCAAAAATGTACAGATATGGCAATAAGAACATCTTGTATCAACTACATTAATCACAGAAATGCTTCTTAAACAGCTGGTTCTCACGAAGACCGAATTCAAATTGTAAGGAATTATCGCCTCCCTCTCCGCTTGTAAGTGGTTAGCACGTCCAGATGGCAAACTGGAAAATCCACGTTCAAATTCCGACAAAGTTACAGCTAATTTTTTATATTCCTGGTGCGAAGTATCTAGTAGTCTTTATTATGGTACCCGAACTAAAAATATGACGGTCCATAACTCGTCTCTACTTAGAATTGGTCAAATGTTTCTCGTGCTTCTTCCTAGTTCCCTTTAAGTGGAGAAGAGTACAATTAATTATCACTTTTTCTCGTCGCATGCTGTTGGGGTATTAATGGTTAACATCCAGCTG